CAGAAGTAGGGTAAGAGCACCCCACGATGGGGCAGGTCACCCTGCAGTCCCCTCTTGTTTCTCCATCCTGGCAGGTTTGGGGCACACATGGAGGCCCTCTGGCATGTTTTTCAAGCCTCCAGGGCTGGGGTTAAACTGCGTTCGGCTGTGTGGGGTCCGGCTCCCTTCACCACTGTGCCAGTCCTAAAAAGTTACTCATTAGGAATTTTACAGCATATGATGCAGGAGCTCAGACCCAAGCCCCTGGGGTGCCATTTGTTCACCCAGAACCAAGCATAATCCCAAGGGTGGTTGTGAAAGTACTGTTGGAGCTGACGGCTGCCCCCCAAAACCGTGTGTATGAGCGCATTTTCGTTGGTGGTGGTCCCCTTCCCCTTTTTTGCCTCAGTGGAGTAATTTTAAAGTTAGTTCCTTTTTTTTTTTTTTTAAAGTTTTGCTATAGTACATATGCACATGCCAGAGAGGGGAAAGTGAGAAATCACCCTCCAGGGAGGATGGCCACGTGCATAGTCCTTCCCTTGGGGTTTTGGGCACTCACGCACACACACCCGGCGTGTTATACAAGCCACTGGATCCGGGGACTCAAACCACAAAGTCAGCCGTGTGAGATCCAGCTGCAACTCCTCTCACCTGCCGGCCCAAGGTCAGCTACTTTGCACGTACCCCGAGCGGCCCTTGGTCAGTCACTAGCGAGGACACGTGACACTCACCCGGAGCTGCCTGAGTGCCAGGCACGCTGCCTGCTGGAGCCTGGCGTCACGGTCCGTCAGCGCATCGGTATAGAAGAGCAGGGCCTGGGAAGGAGGGCGTCGGTGAGCGGGTGGGGGAGCCGAGGCCAGCTCCGGGCACCGTCCCGCAGTGCGCAGGCCGCCGCTCTCCCTGCTTGGTTCTGAAGCGCAGGACACAGTCCGTGAGCCTTCGAGCCAGGCGGGCCGTCAGGAAACACAGCTAAGTGCCTGTCCCTAAACACCGGCCTCCACTACCTGGCAGTGGGTGGCCCATCTGTTTCCTCTGGGGTGACAGTTCTCCCCTTGCCCTAGAGAAGAGAGAGCCTGTCCACCCATCTCACACGGCTGCCTGCCCGTGCACGGTCTGCTCTGTCATTGTCCTTTATAAACCTGCTTGCACTCTCAAAAGAATCCAAACCCTGTCCCTGAGGCAACGACAATAACATGAAGAAAGCTCTTTTGTCCACCAATGTTTTGGACATGCTTTCTGGAACTGCTGTCCACACAGCACGCCGAAGCGGCCCAGCACGGAACAGCAGAGCTGCAGTGTGCAGGGGAGTTGTGCGGGGAGGCGGAAAGCAGGCAGCGGACAGAAAGCTCTCGCCCTCGCTGCCCTCACCCAGCCACAGTTTTGCCCCACCCGAGTCCGCCATTGTGGCCAGCTCACCTGCCACCTTGGGCGTAACAGGACAAAGCTGAAAACGGCACGAGCGCCCAGGTACAGTACAAACAGAGCGATTGCGTGGGGCCGGGCCTGGCTGGGCCTCGGCCTCTGCAGCTGTGT